ATCACCGAGCCAAATTACTACAGGGGGGAAAAAAGGCAAAGACTCAACTAGTCCCAAAGGCAAGAGATAATTTAATGACGGGAGTGACTGGGAAGAGAGGGGAGCTTTAGCTCCCAAACAGAACTTGGCAGAAATGCTGGGATGGGATGTAGTTACAGACTGGATCTTTAATGGTCTTTGACACTAAGAAAGGTAATATGTTACAGCTATATCAAGTCATCAGATGGAAAATGGACTCCAGGCAATTTTCTACGCTAAATATATTGTCACATACCCTTTGCCTCTCACCAACCTATCAGCAGGAGTAGTTTTTCTTAGAGAAACACAACACCCCTCTGTCTTCCTGTAAACACTCCTAAAGCTTCCATCCTTCCCGATGTCTGATTAGTCATTTATGCCTAATTAGTTATTAAGCTCAGGCTCTGGGAAGATCAAAACAAAGTCTTCAATCTCAAGTACTTTCCATTCTAGTGTGAAAAACAGTCAATAAGAAAATGTACAATCTCATGTTAAGTAGCTCTGTGGAAACTAGAAAGAAAATTGAACGGGCTAAGAGTATAGTGGAGGGAAGAGCCGCTGTTTCAGGGGAGGTGAAGAAGAATATCCTCTCTGAGGTGAAAATTGAGAACAGACTTAATAAAGAAGTGGTTTCTGGCCTAACAGACTTCACTTCTCCCAGGACAGAGACCTGAGTTGAATGTCACACAAAACAGCATATGCTTGGGGAATTTGGTGCCCACACTGTGCTACAGGCACTAGCAACTCAGATTGGCAAAGAGTTTAGGTTTTTGCAAGAGGACCAATTGTCTGAGGGGGGTTATGAAAAGGTCTAATGAAAGTCAAAATAAGTGGGCCATGTTGTAAAAAAAAAAGGCATCAATTGTCATATAGCCCCATACGGGGTGTCCCCGAAAAGTGTCCAGGGCCTGATAGCATATTGGCTGCAAGGTGGATTTTGGGGCGTCTATCTGATTTCGGTTGGAATCTGGGCTCTACCACCTACTAGCTTTGTTTCTCTTAACCTTTCGAGCTTTAGGTCTCTCATCTGTAAGGCAGGGAAAACACCTGATCTTTCTGCAAAGTGTTCTGGAGACATGCATTCGATGTACATAGTGCAGGGGCACACATTAGAGGACCACAATGTTATATTTAGGACATTTTAAAGCACTATAAACATATTACATATTCAACATGGACTAAGATGTATATACTATGGTTAATTAAAATATTACTTCATACCATGGCTTTATAATAACCAGTCATGTCCACTGGTTTCTGTTTATCTTAGAGAGAAGCTTCTTATTGTAGTGATCTTGATATTTTGGTGCTTCATCTGCTAAAATAATATGATATCAGGCCTGCCCGATCGGATCTATTAAAGCATGAATGGAATACCAAGGTCCACAGTCATCCTAACAGTAGTGGCAGGAAACCAAGAGATGGATGGAGACCTTGCTATGTTTTGAAACCCAGGCGAGGATTTCCTGCTTGCATGCCGCGAGAAGGCATTTGATGAGGACAAGGTCACTTTATTTAACAGAAGTGCTTTCTGAGAAGCAGAGAGGAGATGTTTCCTCTCTCCTGGGTCCCCAGCAGCTGCCTTGGTTCAGATCACAAAGGTGCTCTGTGACTGAGGAATGATGAGTGTGCACTTCTGGAGAGGCTGCAAGTGACAAAAGAAAACGAATGACCCCGGGAAGAGAGCCCCGAGCAGAAAGGGAGACATTGCCATCCCCGTAACACTCCATCACAGATGCCACTAACAGGATGTGGGCATCTCCGAGGGGCCACCTGAGTCTGGTTCAAAGCCTGATGAAGACAAGGTCCCAGGAGCAACACAGGACTATCTGTCATCCTGACATCTAGAAGGAAAAGGGGTCAGCTGGACCATAAAAGGCTGACGTGGCTGCCAACTCTATTCATGTTCACACTGTTAACATGTTCGCCATCAAAGTGCCTTTCTTTATGGCAGTGGTTCTCAACCTTGGCTGCACATTAGAATCACCTGGGAATCTTTTTAAAATCCTGATTTCTGGGCCCCATCCTCCGGAAATTCTGTTTCTTTGTGATGGGGTGGGGCCACAACATTAGTAACAAAGAAACAGAATTTCCGGAGGATGAGTTGTGCGCCAAAGGAACCCAAGAATAGAGTAGAAACTGGGTGAGTTTCTCCTTAGCTTCCCACCATGTCGAGGTCTCCCCCGCACTGGACTAACTCCAGCCTAACCGATCCAACTGCTGCTCCCAGCGGCTCGCGGGGGTGGGGGGGGGGGAAGGGGAGGGGGGGCAACAAGCACCTCTGTTAACAACAGCTGGGAAAATGACCAGCCTCGCTTCATTTCTGCAGGATGCAGAAAGCTACTCTGACTCGGGGAACCATGGTACCAGCCACTGGCTGCGTCAGGTGCTGTGTAAATACCTTACACCTCATACTTATTCTCTTCATGAGAATCTGTGAGGTTGATGCTGGTTTTGCCTCCATTTTATAGATGAAGGAACCAAGACGCTGTGAAGGCTGCTTAGCCCCTGCACAGTCTGAAGCTAACGACTATAGTTTGAAACAGCTCCCACGTTTCCTCTCCGACTGAGAGTAATCCGGAGATTCAAGCAAAATAAGAGAATCTGAGAACCAGATAAAGAAAATTGCTAGTAAGCTGCTGTAATGAAAACGGGAGAGATTAAATACGAATTAGAAATGAGTAAATGTTAAATATACAGTGAGTCAGTAAAGGTTTTGACATCAAAAGCAGCAACTAGGGAAAAGTAAAGTACAGGACCCGAAGCAAGGATATGTCACAGTGTCCACCTTCCCTTTCAAGCCTTATCCTGGACCACCGAATGGACCAATTTGTCCATCCATGAGAGAATCCTACATGACCACCCTGTCTTGGGGGTCATAAAAGCTACTGCACAATCACAGCAAATAGTGATGAAGGGACCAGGAAGGTCAAGTCTAAGGACTAAATCTAACTAACAATTTTGAGGTCCCTCTGTCCACATTGTTTCTCCTACATGAGGCTCAGACAACCCTCCCTTCCTTTTGATATTTTACCCTTTGGATTATAAGTTTCCCTGAAGGAAGACAATTATGGAATTTAACAGTACCCCTCCTCCAACCCCAGCAATCAGGGATAAATCGGACTAGATGGGCCTATTTACTTTGAAGCAAAGGTGAGTCTGTCTCAAATTGCCTTCATACTTGAGAGGTATAAGAAGGGGTTCCTTAGTCCAGAGAGTTTTGTCAAGGTTTTCATGATGCAGGACTGACCAATGTCACTTATTACTAGTGGACACTGACCATTAGTTCTGAGAAACAATGTCTTCATTTTTGAAAGCTGAAGGAACATTCCTCTATTATAATATTTCCATGATGAAGATAACAAACACATCACAGAGGATCACGATCCCATTAAGAAAGCTGTGAAACTTCAAAACATACTCATCTCTGTATTTTCTCTTTTCATATTTCACTGTGTATTGCAGAGTTATGTTTACTGATGATTGATGGAGGTGCTTAAAGGCAGACCCATGTGTATATCTTTTAGCCTAGCTATGGTAGAGAAGTTAGGGCAAGATGGGGACAGATGAGATCTGTACATGGGTAGGCAGTTTTTATTTAAATCAATCTGCAAAACGTCACTAAAGAAGGTCTTAAGAAGTAACTGAAAAATCAAACATAAAATCATATAACATAAATGAATAAAGAACACCATGGATGAGGTAGGGTCCTATCACTGCTGTGGAAAAGTCAGATGTAGCATCAATAAGACCCGAGAGCAAGGTCTTGGCTAAATGCTAAAAGGTGGCAGGCATAGCAGCTGAACTCCACTTTAGTAAGACAAATCCCTAGACAGGTCACAAAACCATGATCAGGAAAAGAGCAAAGTACAAAGGTGTTTGACATTTAGAATCAGCAGCACATGCAGGGTACCCCCCTCCCCAAAGCCAGATCTTTCTGGAGCACAAATGGGTCAGCTAGTACACAAAGTACTTTTTATTTACTTCCTCATAATCTCTGTAATAACTCCACAAACTATGAACTATTAAATGTCCCCACTTTACAAGCAAGGGCACTAAAAGAGAAAAATTCAGTACCGTGTCTAAAGTTACCCAGCTAGTAAATAGTTCAACACCCAATGAAACCCGTGCAGGCTGGTCCTGCAACCTGAACTCTCACCAATCCTTTTGCTGTCTGCATAGAGAGTAGGCATGTTAGCAAGCAGGAGATCGCACAGGACTCTGTGCTTTTCACTCAGGCCAACTTGGTGAGGAAATATTAGAAAAGCATCTTTTGTATAGGTTTCGTTCACGTTAAATAAAGAGAGTCCAACTGGATTCTGGGTTTCCTCCTATACTTTTGTTTTTCACTCTGAATTAGCTGTCTTTGGAAACCAAAGCCCTGACGCTAAGGCTGAAAGGCAGTGTGGGGACACAGGGATACAGGCACTGGGCTCAGAGTCAGATTTAGGTTCCAGTCCCTTCTTACCACTAACTCACTGGGTAAAGGGGAACCATTCATTTGTCCTCCATATAACTGAAGCGTAATCATGTCTAAGGCCACATTAAATGCAGGAATGTCATCACCTGGACAGGGTTTTTCCACAAAAGGGTAACATTTACAAATACTTGTATTGAGTAATCAGCTCATCAGACTTTCTATTTCCATATATTACATGTGCATATAAATTTGTGATTTCCCACCTGGCTGGAGTGGCTCAGTTGGTTGAGTGTTGCCCAGAGCACCAAAAGGTTGCTGGTGAGATTCCTGGTCAGGGCACATATCTGGGTTGCAGGTTTGATCCCTAGTCGGGGAGCATATGGAAGGTAACTGATCGATGTTTCCCTCTTCTCTCTCTCTCTCTCTCTCCCTCCCTCCCTCCCTCCCTCTCTCTAAGCATGTCCTCAGGTGAGTATTAAAAAAAGGATTTGTGATTTTCTGTCTGGATGTCAAAGTGAAGGATAAATAAATACATCATGGCAGGCATGCAAATGGCACGTACTATTTTCTTATCGTAGGACTCTCCGCTGCTGTAGGTTGTGGCCAGTGTGGAGGAACACTCTTCCAGGTACCACGGCTTCTTTCCACTCTCGGCTGTGCTGCTGATGGAGATGGTGTAGATGCTGTTGGTGTAGCCGTCACAGGAGCAGTGGTCTTTGCTCCTTCCGCCATTGCCTGACGCCCAGACAAAAACAGAGCCCAGGCCTCTCCGCCCCTGTTCACAAAGACAAAATGTTAAAAAGTTAAATGATGGAAGACGAGGATCCCAGGCTCTAGATGAAGAGATGAAAATTGACAAGACACAATCAGATATTTGCAGGAGGGTGTGATGCTATTTTAATAACATGCTGGGTTTAACTTTAAGTTGTGTTTTGATGTAAGAGGAGTTACTTGTAGAAACAAAAATAATCCACTGTAATGTATAGCATGGTGACTATCCTATATAATAAAAGCCTAATATGCTAAGTGTCCAGTTGTCCAGTCATCTGTTCAACCAATCAAAGTATAATATGCTAATGATATGCTAAGGCGGCTCAACTGCTTGCTATGATGTGCACTGACCACCAGGGGGCAGATGCTCCAACTGGTAGGTTAGCTTGCTGATGAGGTCCAGCCAATTAGGACTGAGCAAAATGGGCCAGACATGCCCTGGAGCCCTCGTGCAGTCCCTCCCCAGCCCCAATCATGTACCGGTGAGTTCCCTTGGCCTGGTCTGTGCCCTCAGGGGATGTCAGAGAGCCAGTTTCGGCCCAATCCCATAGGCCAGGTTGAGGGATCCCACTGGTGCACGAATTCTTGCACCGGGCCTCTAGTGATTAATAATACTGTATTACATATTTGAAAGTTGCTAAGAGAGTAGATCTTAAAAGTTCTCATCACAAGAAAAAAATTGGTAACTATGTGAGATGATGGAAGTTAACTAGACTCACTCTCATGACATTTCACAATATATACAGACACTGTATCATTAACGTTGTACATTTGAAACTAATATAATGTTATAAGTCAAATAAACCCATAAAATAAGTAACTAAAATAATCTTTCTCAAATGGCACAGTTATAGAAGTAGCACCAATAGCACCAATCTATCTATATATATAAAACCCTAGGCAACTGGTCAATCATTCGACCGTTCAACCGGTTGCTATGATGTGCACTGACCACCAGGGGGCAGATGCTCAATGCAGAAGCTGCCCCCTGGTGGTCAGTGCACTCCCACAGTGGGAGTGTCACTCAGCTGACCGATGGGCACCAGACACCGGGCTCATAGCTGGTGAGCACAGCTGCAGCCGTCCGCCTCCATGGCAGCACTAAGGAGAGGTGGCGGCAGGTGCAGCGGGGCCAGGATGAACTGCAGTGGCACCTCAGGCTCCTTCTCAGCTGCCTGCCTCTTTGTGCACCACTACATCCCTTAAGGGATCCTGGATTGTGAGAGGGCGCAAGCCAGGCTTAGGGACCCCACTGGTGTACGAATTCGTGCACCGGGCCTCTAGGGATGACAATAATAAGGGCTAACATTTATTAGGTACCTACCATAGACCAAACATAGTTCTAAAGTTTTATGTGAATCAGAATGAATTCTTCTAATAACCCTGTGAGAATGGTGCAATTTGTGTCCCCACCATACAGGTGAATATTTGAGGTACAGAAGTCCAGTAATGCTCCTAAGGTCATACAGCCAGTACAAGGAAGGACAAAATTTGAACTCAGACAGCTGGACCCCAGAATTGTAATATTATTAATCACCAATCACCACAGTCAAATACTATTGCTACCAACATTTACATCCACCATCAAGGGGGTGCTACTGTGCACCCTCATTTCACAGGTGAGGAGCATGAGGTGTAGAAAGGTTATGTATTTATCTGAGATGACATGTCAGTGAGTGGCAAGAAAAGTCAGATATCCTTCCTTCTAGAACTGTGCCTTCCCTGTGCATGGTGTGGACACTAATAACTAAGGATTATTAATGGATGCTACCAGAAATAAAAAGATATCAAGAGATCAAATATGTTTGGAAACTCTGAGTTCAGCAAAATTAAACAGGTTCTCTTACTGCAGAATTTCTCAGTCTTTAATAGTGGTTGGTCATTGCAAAACTCTAAGAGGGGGGCACATTCTGAAGTAATTTTCAAACATTTTTGATTGCAGATGACATCTTCAACCAGACTCATGATCTTACATAGCTAGGAGATGGAGTCATATTCTTCCTTGCCAAACCTTGGCATAAATTAAAGCTATCCCTAATGTCATAAAATAATCAAGAAGAAAAGTAGAACATAGATATATTGAAGCATAATGACTATTTGGTTCTATAAGATGAGGTCTTGGGAGGAAACAGAGGTAAGCCTAAGTGAAGAATATTTATAGGAATAGTTATAGCTGAGTCTGTGAGAAATCTCACCATTTTACAACTAGAAGGCACACTGGAGGACACCTCACCAAACCTAACATTTAGTTTGTAATTAGGACGCGAGAACCAAAAATCACATAGGGATGGCTGAGACTCTTCCTTCCAGGCCCTCACCTTCTGGTCCTAGGGGTAGGGAAAAATATTTGGGATGTTGTCTTAGAATTTCTGGAAAAAAGAGCCAAGAAGAGAGACCACAAAGAATCCGGAGTATCTGTGATAAACTGTCTCTGACCTTGAATCCTCAAGGAACAGAATATTTATGACATGATTTGACCGACTTGAGCACGGATTTCCTTTTGTCCTTCAATGTGGAAAAATGCAATATGATTACACAGGAATGGGACAAATTCAGGAAGAGACAGTAAAAGAAACTTCTGGATGCTACTGCCCTGGACAGCTGGGCCTGGTTTACCTTCCTTCCATTTCCCACTAAAATATTCATGAAATATAGAAAAAGATGCAAAAATGACCAAGCCACCATACACCAAGGACTATATTCAATAGTTTGTCAATCTTGGAATTGCCCCTCATTACCTGTGGATGGCCAGATTGAAAAATTCTAGTGACTGACTTATACTTGGACTTCAGAAATAGACCATCTTAGCCAAAGAAGGAAGGTTCCAGTTCATCACCAAAATGTAGCCTCTCTACCACACACCAAGGGACTGTATTGTAGGCAAGAAGCCTGGTCACATCAGAGCCTTACCTAACAGGTCAACAGAACACGTGAAATAATGCAAAACCCACCTGGTTGAAACAGCACCATTAAGAGGTAAAACCACAAAACAAACAGAGCACATATGACACATTTATATATCTATGTAAAATTATGACTGCCTGTGTATAAAATTCAAAAGAGATCTTTAAAAACTAATTCAATTTTAAAGAATGTTTAATAAGAAAATATTCAGGAGGTACTTTTATGTTCACGATGTAGAGACAAATGTAGGATACAGAATGATACAGTATGGTCTCCGTTTGGAAAAAATGTATGTGCATGTAAAGAAGTTAATGTGCATAAGGTTATATGCATAAAGCTACCATAAAGTGACGATGTAACAGAACTTACCCTGTTTGGTAAGCTTAGGAAAGATTTTTATTTTATTTTCATACCATCCTTTGGCAACCGTGTATGGTTTTTATAAACAAATACAAATACATTTATTCCTCGATTAGGACCAATTCTTAAGAGACAATTTTACTTTATGATCAAGAGGAGTTTTACACACAAAGGTCCACTGTATGCTAAAAACAACAGAGCTAACATTTATAGACACTTAATATGAGCCAAGCACTGTCTCAACATTATTCTGCACAAAGCGAGTCTATATCATCATTTTACAGATGATCAAATGGGGGCTCAGAAACGCTGACCAACGCCAGAGCCAGAGCTTGAAATCCAACTGGCACCAAAGCCTGAGCCCTTAGCCCTTACAGCAGTTTTCTTTTGGACTTATGTTTGCTATGCTGTGTTTATCTGAAACGCCCGAGTCCTCACTGAAGCATGGCATTAGGATCTAAGAGCAGACCAGACTCCAAGTTCTCTCCAGACTTGCAGAATCAGAACTTCAGACCTCTCTCGAGTATCCTCAAGGGAAGGACATAGGTTCTGACCTCAAAGCCCCCCTAAAAATCCCAACTTCACAAGGGCTCCCTCAGAAGTATGACCTCAAGTCATTCTATTCTGGCAGTATCCACAGATGACACCACTCGGGAGGACAATGGCATTGCTAAGGGCCCTGTGGAGATCCCCTGGGTTGGGATAACAGTTGGTTAATAGACAGTGGGATGCTGCTACCCTGGAAACGTCCCTTCCAGTCTGAGGTGACATCCTGTATCAAACAGATGATTTGAGGTAATTATTTCACAACTGGGCAATGGTGAAGGGAAACTCTTAAGGACAGTGTTGGGTCAATAACCCATCCCCTGCACCAGGCCTGCAAGGAGCTGGGGAGAGAGAAGTCACTGGAGCTGGAGACAGAGGGGATAACAGGAGTTGAAAATTGCTCAGGGGACACACCAACCCATATCAGCCTTTCGGTGGGGCGGGGGGCGGCAGAGGAATACATCCTGAGACCCAGTCTCCTCCTCTCTCCCCCATTTCTCCCATATCCATCCCACTGGCCAAAACCTAGCAGAGCCAGAGGACCTGGGAGACCATACAGGACACAGAGATCAGTATCCCTCAGCATGGAGCACCTCGAGAGAAGGGGTATGGAGGGTGGAATGGGAGAGATCAGGTATCATCCTTAAGGTGTGTAATGGACTGAACTGTATCCCCCAGCCTCAAATTCATATGTTGAAGCTCTAACCCCCCAATGTGACTGTATTTGAAGATAGGACCTTTAAGGAGGTAATGAAGGTTAAGTGAGGCCATAAGAGTGGGGCCCTAAGCTAATAAGACTGTTCTCCTTACGAGAAGTGGAAGAGATGCAGGAAGTACACCCAAGGAGGAAAGGCCATGTGAGGACACAGCAAGAAGGCGACCGTCTGCAAACTGAGGAGATGTGTCACCAGAACTCAACCTTACTGGCACCTCGATGCTGGACTTCTAACCGTTTAGCCTCCAGAACTAGGATAAAATCCATTCTGTGGTTTAAGCCACCCAGTCTTTGTTACCCTGTGATGGCAGCCCGAGTGTCCTAATACAGGTGAGAGGAGGAGATAAAGGATGACCTGCCCCCCATGGATCTACAGAATAAACTGATGCTGCCGCCATTCTATCCAGTCAACCTGACCTTTATGCATGTGTGTTATGGTTTATGATTAAAGACCCAGGAATGAACAGACTGATTTGTGT